AATATCTCTTGTGATATGATACTTAAAAATAAATGAAGAGAAATATTTCCAAGCTAAATTGATTTTCAGAAAATTATATTTGCACGAAATTAACGCGATTAATATCGCATAATGCGCTTCGGATTAATTATATTTTCGAAACAAACACGTCAATTTTCTTCTTTCATGTGGCGTTTCAAGATTATTTATTTCGAAGATGTTTAATTCGAGAATTTTTTAAATTTAGGAATATTTACATTTTATATAAGCCGAAAACAAATCAATTAAATTGTAATTAGATAAAAGATTTAGAAATATATTGAAAATTCTAGAGATGTTTGGGAGAAGAAGAGAGAGAGAGAGAGAGAAAGAAAGAGATTTTAGCTCGAATTGAGATTCGCAGAGAATTACCTTCCCTCGTAAAATCCTGATCCTGATCCTGAGCTCGTCGACCCTCCGAAACCTGCTCGTTTTTACCGGACACTCGCAAACGGCGCGCGATCACACCCCTATGCTCGTGGGCGCAGAAGTGCATTGTGCCATTGTAAATATAAACTGCACGAGCCGTTTTCCCGACTATTCGTCGCGTTTCTCGGCATATTGCGCGCCGTAACCATTTAACCGCGCTCGCGCGCTTATTGTACACGGACAGCATATGGCACGGAAGGTAACGTCTCTATTATGCATCTCTTCCCCCTTTTTGCTACTTGATAAATGGCCGCTCGTATTTAACGCGACTAATCGAGCTGCATGCATCAATGGAAGAAAGTGTAGCTCGAGCGAAAATAGACGGTGGAACCTCGGCGAAATGGAGCACGGTTTTTTTTTTTAAAGCGTATCGTCCATTAACTTGCCACTTTTGCTGGAATTACATTTCAATTAACGTAATATGAAACGGATTGAATGATCAGTGAACGAGATAAAAATATAATTTTTACTTTCAAGCTATTAATAATAGCCAGTTTTATTGATCTTCTTTTAATTCTGCTTAACGAATGTTTAATTAAAGGTCCGACGTTACGGTTAGCGGATGGCCAAAAATGAATATGGGTTAACGCCGACGAAATTTTATGTATTTTATGTTTATTACATATTTAAATATGTAAGATACAGGAAATAATCATTTATAAGTTGCTATCACTTAGCGAAAATTCGTACGAAACAATGAAATGAAATTAATCTTTGAAAAAAAACACAACTTTCTGTTGAATAAATATTAGTCCTTTTTTTTACTGTAGTTTCAACTCAATTTTTAAAAAGCTTTTTTATTTATTTTTGTTTCATAGTCTGCAAAAATCTATGTACTATTTTGTTAGATAGAAATGTAACTATAAATATACGTTTTATTTAAAGTTACATGCCATTATTTTTATTTTTTTAAAGGGTTAAAGATGATTTTTCGATCTTTCGATAGTAACGCAGCGTGATTCGCGATCCCTTCTATCTTTTTCTCTATGATTATAAAAAATGGCCATGTAGAAAATACCGGGCAATTTAGTCGTAAATCAACGTTGGCTATCGGTGACAACGATTATTTATAGAACGACGGAAACAAACGCATGTTTGGAGAGTTATAGTATATAGGAAGTGCGCTATAAATACAGTGCACTCGATCATAAAATAACCAGACGACGATCGTTATTTTTTTTACACACACACACATATATTGTATATATATATATATATGTATGTATGTATAGTCGTTATTTATAATGTTTTTGCTGGAATCAAAGCTAGTAGTCTGATTTGTTTTATTAGCGAACGGAATCATCGCATATTCTAACGTGTGATCTAATTTCTCGATAACGCGAAAGCTGGATCACAAAATTTGTCAAAAGTTTTCCTGGTGCCGCGACCTCGGAAGAAGTGTTTTTTAAAAAAATGTTAACATTGTCTGGTTTATATGGTTTAGGAATTCTGTATAATATCAATCACAACATTACGTTTACGAGAGTCTATATTTCTGAGTCGAATAATCAATAACTTACTTCGCCGAAGGCCGAGCAACTCCGTCCGAACACGCGCGCGACTCGCTTCGTTCGGTCGCTTCACGTGGCCGTGAAGCATTTCTTCAGTCGTACCACGGAAAATCCTGCACTGGGCGTGATATGAGCCTGCTCGCTTCGCGGGTAGCCGGTGCCCCGGCTGCGTGGCACGCAATCACCAGGCAAGATTAACGCCGCGAGTACCTGGCGGTTAATTGAAAGAGAACGCGGCGCAGGCAGGATATGCCACATGCGGGATACACTGTCAGCGGAATCTAATAAGCGCCGGGACCAGAGAGTGTATATGCGGGGATTCTTCTTTCGTTTCGAGCGAAATCGAATTGCCGTCATCCCCAGTGTATACAATCGCGATGCACACAGAATCGGCGCGAACGCGCCATAACGGTCCCTCCGCCCGCCCTTTTCTCTCCCTCCCTGCTGTTTCTCTCCTCTCACCCTCTTTCTCTCTCTCTCTCCCTCTCTCTATCTATATATCTGCCTATCTCTCTCTATCTCTCGCTCTCTTGTATTCACTTCCCTGCTTCTACCATTCGCTCTCACTCCCCGCAACGAGATTATGGTAATTGACTATCCGACTTGGAAACCCCCATCAGGCATATCAATTACGTACGTATGCATCCCAACCGGGAATTTGCCTTTGATCCGCTCAAACTCCGCGGTAACACAATTCACGCCTGCGTCTAATCTCAAATGGGATTGCCTGATGGCACAAGGGACCATCGAAATGGGCTTTTCCGACTTCGCGGGCCCGCGAAGTCCTTTCGGGACCATCGCGCATCGCGAAGGACCGATACCCCATCCCCTCCCCCCCTCCCTTCCTTCGTAAGGGAAAACGTAATCCGGTCGTTCTCGTTCCTTTGCATAGGTCGAAGGGACGAACCAGACAATCTTGATAGAGTTCCAAATGCATAGACGTATTGTACGATATTAACGACGTGGTTTCGATAGATTGCTGTACTAAAATTTCATATTTAGCCCTTTTTACATTTCTAGCATCGTATGCAACCTCAGCGATGAAACCATTCTTAGAATGCGTCAATTTTATAGATGTAATATAGATAAATTTGTAATTACCAACATTTGTAAACGCACAAATGAGCATATGTATTTACATACACTTTATATAAAAATAAAAAAAAATTTAATTGATTTTATAAAACTACACTAATTAGAAATTTATTTCTTTTTATAGTTCGCCTGTATGATTCGCAACACACGTATATTCAGAATCTAATCGATATGAGGAAAAATAAAAATCGAGGTACTTTCCTCTTATTTGATATCGTTCATTTAATTCAGAGTTTCAAGAAAACGAATTTTATTTCTTACCAAAATTTACTAGTACGCCTTTAGTTATGTCAAATCCAGCGGATGCCGCTATAAACTACCGCAATCCGTTGTAACCTAAGTGGATCATTTCTTTGATAAATCGTAGAAACGTTGAAATTTAAAGTGGCATTTATGCGAACAGACGTCCTCTTTTTAAATTACTACTTATCCTACATTAAATCTCACAAAAAGCATCCGATAATATATAAAATCAAAAGCAAGAGTTCCTTGATAAGAGTCATATGTTTTAAGAAAATTTATAATAATTGATTATAAAAGATTTTACCTAATTTTATCTTAAAATTTTAATTCATACTTAAAGAAATACACATACTTTGCGAGAGAAACAAGAATAATTTTGACATAATAATTTATTTCTTTTAAAATAACTTTTATTTAATTTTATATAAGCTTTTATACAATTTTACTATATTATGCATTACAAATTATTATTATTATTATTATTATGCATTACAAATTATTATTATTATTATTATTATTATTATTATTATTGCAGAGAAAGAAACGATGTTAACGCGATGGATGAACAATGTTTTTATATAGGAGCTTATATATAAATTTATAAAATATTTATAAAGATTAGGTTGGAGTAGATGTCATCGTGATAATCCGCGTAATACAAATTCCGATTTCCACTTGCCAGCAAGCTGATATCACGTACGCGATAAGAATATATGAGAACCGCGGCGATAAATCGATGTATCGGACGTGACTTAGGGAATTCAAACAGAGATATTTCTTTCCGCAACTTTGAACAACATCAATTCATTCCGAGATAACGGCTCGGCACAAAAATTTATTAGCATGGCAGATAATTTGATTACTAGCTCGCCTGAAACAAACCTTTTCCTTTTGTTTTGCGATACGTAATAATAATTCGCGCATCACGGAATTCCCGATTAAATCTTGCATTTTTACGACGTTTATTTGCTAAATGACGCCACATTTTTGTAACGATACGTAAACACGCGCGATAAACTTCGCCAGATTAAAATAGCACTGATAGACATTGATTTGTATTCTTCATTTTTGTACAGCGAAAAATCTTATCGTTTCGGAAGTTGATAAAAAAAAAAGAACTATGGCCTAAACGGGATAAAAATAAGAGGAGAAAATAATAGGAATAAAATAATAAAATGGTAGAAGCGGAAGAAAAATTAAAAAATAGATAAAACATATTGAGATTGAAATCAAAGTTGAATTACGCAATTATAAGATTGTGTAATTTTATTATTAAAGATAAAGTCTGACATACGTAGAAGCCTTTCTTCTCAGACTTCTTAGAGAATAATATTTTTCGAAATTTCAAAGCTTAGCGCAAAGTATGTCAAATATCCCATTTCAGTTTTATCATTTTTAGCATTCAGTGTTTTAATTAAAATAAAAGTTAAAATTTTAATTAAACTAAAATCGGAATTAAGATTCACTAATTGAAAATTAATATTTTAATATATATTAATTACCTACCAATTTTAAAACTATTAATCTTATAATTTGAAAATTATTAATGCATATCAAAGCAATAATCTGATATTTCAGCGAGCCTGTATATTACATTATAATTATTTCGATAATAAAATATATGTATAGGAAACTTTTACCCAGGAGAGTAAACGAAAGTAATCTCGGCAGGTTTACGCGAACACTCGAAGGTTTACGCGGCACTGCGCCGAAGACGTGCGTGATAATCAAACGTCGCCCGCACTTAATCGCCGATAGATTATCGCCGTATAAAAGAAATCATTCCGTCAATCAGCCACCCAAAGTCGTCGCCTTTATTCGGACAGCATGACGCGCTTCATCGTTTTCGTGCTTCTTCTACTGATCGGGCGCCACGTCCGTGGCGTAACGGGTAAATCGTTAGATTTATGGTTCTTCCGCGGTTCCACCCTTTCCCTGTAGGGCCGCGGCCACCCTCGGCAGTCCCGTCTCTCTTCCCTTTCGCTTCCCTCCTTTTCTCACCCGTGCCTCTCGTCTGCCCATCCCCGCGCGGCGGCGGCGGTCCTCTCCGTGCAAAAGCCTGCATCCCACCTTTCGTTTGTTTCAGAATTTATCGAGCGCGTCGCGTTTTTCCTCGTGACGGCAAAAAAAACGAGAGATCGGATCCGTTTCCGCCGAAACCGTTCCCGGTTTTCGACCGCGGTGATCGACGAGAGAGAGAGAAAGGAGAGAGAGAGAGAGAGAGAGAGAGAGAGAGGAGTGCCCGAGTGAAATCTCGTCGCGCACACCGCCGCGGGCGACGTGCTAATCGGAGTACACATCGAAATGATATATACTTGCAGAGAATATCGTGACCTTCACGTCGGGCTCCACGGTGACGCTGAAGGCGGAATCGACCGGAAGTGCATTAAGATGCACCCTCGAGACCAATCGGGGCGAAGAATTAGAGTACTTGCGGCCCGGGTATCGTCAAGTGCGCGAGGATGTCGAATGCATCGATACGAAAACGTGCTCGTTTCGCATCAACAAAGCCAATGACAGTCATGCGGGTGTGTGGAAGGTGACGGCGTATAAAGAGAACGAGAGCGACGTTGATTCATCCAGCGATGACGTTACTGGTATTACGGAAGTATTCTCGTACAAGCTGTACATTTACCAGGTAAATCTTACGGCCACTACCGCCGTTCGTCCAATCTGATTTTGTTTTCGCCTGGATGTGACAAATCGCGAGAAGGTTTCGCGGAATTGGTCGCCGCGAGCAACGCGCCATACGATCGGTTTTATCGGCTCCGCGTCTATAATCTATCTGTTATATCGAAAAAGAAAGAAAATTGAGTGTAACGATCGCTGATACAGAAACCTCTATGTATCGCGGATACATATGATCTATATATATATTCCAGGAGAAAGCCGCTGTACCTTCGCAATACATCGAAGTGTACGATGGACACTACGTACATATGAAACACAGCGAGAATTATAAGAATCTTACGGCGTGTAATCTAACAGGACCTAAGGTATGCTAATAAAAATATAAAAGGAGAAGACGCAAATTAGCAGTTCGAGATAAATGTCTGTGTGATTTCTATTTTAAAACTCGGAAACGCGAAATCCAAAACTTAAAAATATCATTTTAAGAAAATTACGAAGATTTTAAGATTGCAAAATATATCATTAAAAGGGGACAACTGAAACCGTAAGTCAGATGACAGCTCTTATCATTGATGTTATCGTTGCGTTTATCATCGCGTTTACTTTTTTAAATTAAAGTTTAATCAGTCAAATGTGTTTGTCGATTTTCAATATTAATATCTGAAATTAGAGAGAGAAAGAAATTTAGTTACGATTAAATTAAATTTTCTTTTTAATTATATCAAAGTATTTCAATTTTCACAATGTTTAAGTATTTGGAGCTTCGATGCTTACAATAATTTGTCGATACAAAAAATTTACTAACTTTTATTAAAATTTTTAAATTTAGAGTTGTATATTTTATTTTTGATATTACATAACATAATTTTTCAAATACAACGAATATTATGCAACATATTTTATATATACGCTTATGTCAGTCTAAAATAATGTGTTATTATATCCGGTTTGAATATTAGTATTATTTTTGCTCTTACATGTTATATAAGACAATTTTTCAAATTTTACAACTAATATTAGGCAACACATTTTATAAATTTTATGTCAGTTAAAATAATGTGTTATTATTCCCCGAATATTAATACATCTAGTATAATTGAGTTTATTTTATTGGATGTGTATATCCTACATTTAGATGAAGTCCATAAATTTACTAACAGAGAAGCGAGACAATTTTCAACTTCTTGGCCAATGCGGTGTCCGTATGAAAGTGACTGCCACTTTCGAGGGCTCATGGAAACTTGATGCAGTTGTCAATGATTACATGGTATATCGCACGTCATTCAATGTTGATGTGCATCAATTAGAAGGAAAAGATCCTAATGATACGGTGAGTTTCAAATTTTCACGCACGCGCTTTAATCCAACTCTGATTTCCAAAGTTTTTTCATGCATCTTTTAACGCGCAAAAAAGATTCCGTAAAAAAAAATATATGCAAAACATTTTCTGGAATCAAACCACGAAAAATTGCAAACATGCATTAGTGGAATAAATAATTCTATTTCATAGAATATTTTATGGAATTTATCTTATGATATACAAAATGGCATGTTTGATCACGGATCCATCATCATTTAGTAATCATGAATTAAAAATCTTTTAGAGAACTAAGCCGTTGAAACATGAAGAACTTTATTTTAAATAAACATATATTACAATAATTGCCAAAAATCTCTGACTAATACGTAATTCTATTGTATTGGAAATTTATTAAATAAATTGTATTATGTATATAAAAAATTTCATATGTTCAATTTTAAATGAGCAATAAAACCCACAATATTAATATAATTAGGAATTGACTCACAATACGTATTTTTAAAAAATTTCCTAAAATTATATGTTGGCCGGAAACTTTTGGCAGCATTGTATTTACTTTTCATCAATGATAATTGTTTGATTAATCAATACCTTGTCACATATTGAACATTAATCTGTCATGATCATCACATTAATACACATTAATATTGATATACATATAAATATTCATGGCGAAAAGAACCAAGATGAACCATTCCGGTAGATGCGCAATCATTTAAAAGTAGTGGGGAGCAATAAACTAGCAATGAACCAATCAGCTTTTCCCCAAGATGCAGTGGGGAACAACTGATTAGCCGATATTTTGAGCCATGCCGCCATTATGTCGTCATTATGCGCAATGTTTCACCTTGTTTTTTTCCACCATGTAAATATCGATACAATTTAAAGGCTATAAACAAAATCGGATTAAAATGAAAAAATTAAAGACCGAGAATCGAAATCAGATCGAAGATTTGCATTTTTATATTTAATTTATCTATTTAAATTAGAACTTAACAAGACAAATATAAATGAATCAAAGCAACTTAAACTGGTTAAAAAATTAGACTAAACTAAGTGGAATTAAATTAACTACACGTAAAACATTATATTATGCTTATTATTACTATACTCAATTCGAGATCGGAAGAGGAAATTTTGCGCTCTACAACGCGCTCTACAACCCCCCCTCCCCCTCTAGATTTTCGCAATAAAATCGCTTTCGAGAAACGATTGTTTAAGTACGCCGTTGGTCTGCGACTCAGGTAGCGAACATTGTACGTAAGTATATCGGCTTATGCCTTATCGCTCGCGAGTTAAGCTGCGTCCAGCTTGCGGTAAAAGGGCAAGATCGAAATCGGGAGCGTACATTACGGTTAGCAGATTCGATCATCGTCCGCGATTACGGGCGAGACTCTCCCTGTATGTCGATTCGCTTTTATCGCGACGGTTTGATAAAATCGGTCGGTGCCGCCATAGCGGCCACACACACACACACACGCACACGCACACACACACAAACACACACATGCGCGCATACACTTACGGATATCCACGCACATTCGGGAAACAAAGTAACGATCAAAATGCCACCGCCATGAGAGCGCTAATGGCAAACGTTTTTCCGTCGAAATGGACGAGTTTCGAAATAGCACATCGAAAATCGCTATCGAAGCTCGAACAATTGCCCTCCGCCGATGTGACGAGTAATGGTTTAAATCTGCTAAAAGGATTGACGCGACGAGTTTAGCGGAGAAACTGAAATTGCGTGTGCTGCAATAATAACTTATTTATTATATATATGTTATATATTGGGGATCGATGGTTTAGAAAGTTGTAAACACACAATGGAACGGAAAATAGCTACGTGTAACGGAACAATAAATTGGGAAATTTATTGCGGCAAATATTATCAAATAATTTATTGGTTTATTGATTGTATTTTTGATTAACAATCATGCAATTATTGATTATCTATATGCAGTTTTAAACGAATTTCCAAAAGAAAAAAGAAAAAATTAATCTGTGGTGTGATTTGGTACAGTAATATAATTAATCATTAACAATTTAATGGCTTATTTACAATTTTTTAATCGTTTTTATCTTGCGCGCGCATTCTGTAAAAAGTTTGTAAACCTCAAGGAAAAACGGCTGGAAATTGAGGCGCCATTATTTTCACGAAGCGTTTCGCTTTTCCCTTAAATTTTTCGAAATTTGGTGCGCCGGCGATTGCGCGGACGCGGGCAAAGGTTTGTAGCAATAAACTGTCGCAAAATAGCGGCGTAAAAATAAAAGTAACGATCAGGCTCCGGGCTACATTGCAATCGCGGCGTTCAGACGTTCCCCCTCTACCAAAATGCCGCTCTTGCTCTCAAAAAGAGCGCTCGGGCTCCGGCTTTTAACTGGAAAGCCGGGTTCGCGTGGTACGTGCGAAACCCGCTGGGCCCTGAATGCGTCGAATAATCTTCGATGTCGCTAACGAGAGCGCACCCCTCGTCCAGGGGAGGAGGAGGGGGGAGAGGGGGAAGGTTTACAGGGGGTTCTGTTCCGGCCCGAAGTTGTACCAACTCACGCCAACTTGCTATAATAGACGCCTAACGAGATAGCCGAAGCTGAACGCGAACTATTGCTGTTTCGAAAGACACGTAGCTATCGTTAAATACGATGTAACCAATGTTAAAAAAAAGGAGCAAGAAAGGACATTTGTAACGTCAGGTTACACGCTACTTCCTCGTTAATTCAACAGAGAAACTTCGCAAAAGAAAGAATAATTTAGGGGAGGAAAGGATGAAAAAGAGAGCGGATCATTTTATGATTATAATACAAGCCCGACAGAGTCTATATAATTATAATAACAATCTACCATATAATAGTGCGCACCAGATGAGCTGCGACGTGGGATTCAATCGCGATAAATCTTAAGAAGGATTACGTTAAAAAAATTAATCTAGATTAAGAATTAATCTAAATTAAATATGAGAAAAGATTCTTCGAATTGCGCGCTCTCTCTCTCTCTCTCTCTCTCTCTCTAAATAAATAAATAAATACTTTTAATATTGCTTTATATATGATTTCATTTATGGCGGATCATGGAAATTCCAATAACGCGCATGATATGATACAATCATGATAACTGAATCCCTGGTGCGCAGGTATAATTAACATGCATTAGGAACTTGACCATTGTTATCGCTAGGCAAAATCTGATCAAATTATTGGAACGCGCGGTACAATACACTGTTAACACTGTTTCTTAATCGTGCAAAATATGAGATTAATAACATATTCTATAATTTAGATTGTATATTTTATCTAATTATTATGACAATATTTAAGATCGAATATTTTATTAAATATTTATTTAAACATTGATTGTAGTTCGATACAACAATGTTTTAATTGTTGTATTAAAAAGTAAATTTAAATAAAGATTTAAAAATAAGTTAAACCAAACTAACAATAAGTTAAATTAAATTTACTTCGGCGTATTTACACTTCTTAATCCAATTTCTTGTTCCTACTTTGAATCTTTGGAATCAATACACAATTAAATATCTAAAACTACGTGTTTTGAAGGTGTTTAAAGGTTAAAGGAATAAATTGGAATTTTTTATGTACTTACGACACTTACGTTTACATATAATTTTAAATTAAGTTAAAAATTCTTGTTTGTTTACCTAATTGTTGATGCCTCAATGTTAAAATGTCTGAAATGAACGTCTGGCGACTTGCTGTGCAAAAAAAATAAATAGAGTTCAGATTTCAAATTATAACATTTTATTATGTCTGTCTACAGTTACAATAATAATCTACAAATTTATAATCTGATATATCCAGCAACTATATTTATCTCTAGCAATTATACATACATAGACATATATACCTTACAAATACAGTTTACATTGTTTGACTTTTCTTTTATAACACACAGCGCGACATTTGTTAATGATAACGGGATCTGTATTATTTGTACTAAAATAATGAGACGCGGTTTCGCCGAGAGAGAAATACGCTCGTTAAACGCGAAACTATATATTAGATTGTAAAATCTAATAACCACGTACTACATGATACAATTAGTATTTTGTACAAATGAATTAATTAATCTCACAAACGAATTACAGCCGAAAATTATCGACAAATATGCCTTCAATAGTAATTAGCTTTCCGAAACTATACTGCGTCTATTTATTTCAATAAATAGCGTAGTGCATGCGGCAACTCGTCGGAGATTATAAATATTTAAAACTTATTGATTTTGCTAAAATTAAATAATGTATATTTAAAGACTTGTATAATATATGACTGTCGAGTGGAAATTTAGAATATCGTTAGCTTATTTAGACTTACAAAATTAATGGCCATGTGATTTAACGTTTTATTTGATACATTCTTAATTTACATTTACAATACTTACACGTTTAATCAAAGACTCAATTAAAAAAATTAATGAAAAATATGAGTCAACATAAGTTAAAGTACATAAATCTTTATATTAAATATTTATGTATAATTGCTTTATTAATTATTGAGAAAACTGTTTAATAGCTAAAATAATTAATAATAAATTGTTATTTATCTTTTACCTATAGAAAAATTTATTGTATTGTATTTCCCTGATATTTCTCTAAATGTATAATTTATTAAATTATTATTTTTAACATAATAGTATATAATTTTATAATAATAAATAAAATTAAAAATTCTAATACTAGATATTGATTATCTAGCAATGTCACTGTCTCTTATAGGCATCAATGTTTTACGTTAAATACAAAAAGAATAACGTCATTCAAGAAAAATAATCATGTAAAATTATAATACTTTATAAAAATTTACGTGCATCATCATACAGTGTCGCCATTCATTCTTTATTTTATTACGCCTTTTTATTGAATAACATCTAAATATACATCTTGAGATTAATTTAGCCTCGTTATAATAATTGAAGCTTGAGATTAATTTAGTCTTGTTATAATAATTGAAGCTTTTTCTAATAGTTAGTCATACAATGGACTCGAGGATCTCCGGGCATAATTAGCCTATCAGGCCTACCGAAAATTTGCCAAATAGTGGACCCCAATGGTGTAACCGTGGCAACGTCAATTGGGAAATGCTACCATCAAGTAAAAGTTGCCACCGTTGCGCATGAGGGTGTGTGGCTCGCTCGTTACAATATGTACGGGATGCTGGAACCCGTCGAACAAAAGTTTAGAGTTGAAACTCTCGGTAAGGCTTCCGCGAGAGAATATTTTCATTTCCGATAAAAACTGATTCCAAAGCGAAGTACATCTCAAAGTCTTATAAGTTTTATCAATCTTAAACTTAAATATTAAGTTAAATATCTTGAACGTGAGTCGCAATATTTTGCAATTTTACAAAATTTGTATGAGATATAAGATTATAAGTGAAATGTAATTATTAATTATTTTGAAAGGGTGGAGTTACGTAACATCGTTGGAATTTGATTCGACCGGGAATTTAATCAATAACAATGTCATGCGCCATTAATTGGGATATATGTATATGATCTAAATTCTCTCTTTTTCTCTCCTGTTTAAAGTAGCAAATTTGTTAAACTGCTGCAACATTATCATATAAAGTTCTGAAGTGCAAATCGAGAGAAGCACCGAAGCAATAGTACAAAAATGCGATTGTACTAAGAAAAAATATTTTTTTAATTTTTTTAGAACGATTTATTTTCAACACGAACGTCACTCGCACCGAGAACGGTAACACCGTGTTACTCTGTCGATTAGAGATAAAGGATGCACGTCCAGCATCTTGCAACTTTGTTAGACCCGACGGCATAATACTCTATATGACACCCGTAGTAGGCACCGAAAGGTAGGATATAGATGCAATAATCAAGTGCATCAGAAATTAAAAACAGAAATTTTGTTATATAGAATTTATTATTAGCAGTTTTATATATTTATATATTTTTATATATTTTTATATATTTATATATTTTTATATATTTTTATATATAAGCATTTTTATATATTTATATTTTTAACGTAAATTTAATAAATTTGATTATTTATATTGTTACTCATAAAAATTCGATCTTACTATCAATAAATATACGTACCCGGAAAGTTTGGGTATATAGAATACGTGGATTAAAAATCCACAATGTTAATTTTATCTTTAACGACATATACCTATTTCCATCAATGACAACTTTAATCTCGGTTCAACTTACTCTTCATCTTTTTCCAGTTCTAAGAATTAGAAAACGGTGAAGAGTAAGTTAAAGTTAATACCGAGATTAAAGTTAATCTTTGGTCGAAACGGGTATAAATAAAAAAAGGATATTAATTAATATACTTGGCCGTTTTTTGTTAAAATTGCCCGTGCTTCATATATTTGTTTTAAGTTTAAAGAATAGAAGAATGATTAACGTTTTCAGATATTTTAGTAAATAAACGAAAATACGAATTGTTGCGAAACACATATAGGTACACCGCCTACATAAGGTCTGCCGACAACCGTGAACGTACCGACTATAAGATCTTGGAATGTGCAATAACAATCCGAAAGCTTGAAGACGTCGATTACGGCGCGTGGCGATGCGATCTTAGGATACCCTACAACGCCCGCTCGTACGGATCCGTGCTTCACGTTGACTATCCCAATTCGCGCGAAAATTCCAGCGCTAAAGGCGAAGCGGTTAAAACCAGAGCGGACGGCGTGTATGTGAAGCGCGGCGACCCGTTTACGGTAAATTCACCTAAATGTAGACATAAAACATAAACCTAAAACGAGACTCGTGAATGCAAGCGGAGTATAGGAAATCCTTTTGCCTCGCGCAATAATCACACGCATCAAAGATTAAAAAACGGAGATTTTGTTTTATGCGGGAATTATTTACTAGCATTTTTACTAGCAGTTATCCCAATTTTTATATATTTAAATTTTTAAGTTTGACTTAAGTAGAATATTTCGCTATCTTGTAAAAGTTCAATCTCAATGGCAATAGATATGTGTCCAGAAAATTAGGTATATATATATACAATATACACGAACAAGACACATTAAGATTATTTTACGTATAGTATAACGTCCTGATTGGCTATTTTGCAAATAATCTCGTTAATAATATATCTCTCTGCAAATATAATTATATGTCACTGTCCGTTAGATAAAATGTATCGCCGATTCCGTCCTGAAGTATTGCTGGCTGCGAAGTCCGAACGGAACTTCTTATTCCGTCACTCAAGATACGGAAGCTGCGTCGCCGTTTGTTCTACATTACCAAGGCAACGGACTCGCATTCGGCGAGTGCGGAGCGGAAATTTCGACAGCCGTGGATTCTGATAATGGACAGTGGAGCTGTTTGATGGGGGTGGCTGACGCTGGCGAGATAACCGCGATGGCATTGGTCACAGTAACAGGTTGGGAAATGCTCGTTATTCAAGGGAATCTTTCAGCGAGTTTGACAGACACGTACCGACTCTATTTCTATATATGATCTATAAAAAATATTATACATAAAGACATCTAAATGCAAAAGCGTAATATAAGCACTTTGATTAATAAAAAATATTCAATAAACATTTTCCACATAGCACACAGAGCTCAAAAGAATTCATTAGTATATTCAGTTTTATGTCATCAATTCTGAGTTCATTTTCAGATACAAAAAGAATCATTTTTAGAAAAAGAATTCTTTTTGCATCTGAAAATAAACTCAGAATTGGTGACATATAACTGAGTTCTTTTTTTTTATTCTCTGTGCTGTCTGGGTTTTTACTATAAATGTGTAACATTAACAATGAATTATTATTTTATTGGCTAAGATGTTAATATTATGTTTTTCTTATTAAATAACTTTATGTATAATATGCATTGATACGGAATAGTGTAAGTTCTTGAGTTCACTAAAATTCCTATTATTTATTTATTTTTTATTTTGCGGCTATCTTTTCTCTAACCCAGGCTTTATAATTTATCTTTCATTATTTTTCGACTATCTTAGATTCTCTAATTTAACTTTCAACTTTATATTTTAAACTGTTTTTAACTTTCGAATGTAACAAAGCTACAGTTCAGTATTTCTTAAACGCAATCATAATATTTGCAATACGGAATTGTTTATATATCTAGTAAATTAATTCTCTCGGACTAGGAAAAAAAGAAATGGAATTCTAGAATATATCGTCGACGTCGTTACCAGCAGTGAGCTTAATAGCGCGCTTCTTTCATGAACCAACGTATAATCGCGAAACTAATTAACTAAGTAATCTCGAGATGAAGAGATAACTAAGTTATTTGCTGGGATGGCCTGCAAACGCGCAACGCTTGACAGGCTCTAATGCAACGGTTACTTAAAAAGTGCTAATGTCTACTTATATATTTACACATATAAATAATTGGCGCAGCAGGGACAATTAACAAAGTTGTGTTAATAATATATACATTTATGCCGCACATTTTACGATCCGTGAACATCCTTTATGCATTATGAATCTCATTGCGATGCACATTTGGGTCTTTTATGCTCATAAGCATTGCAAGAAAGATCTTATTACTTTATGAAAGAGCATGATTTTATGAGAGATTAAAATTAATATAATACTTTAGTTTTCTTATAACTTTTATATACACTTTATTTATCGGACAAGTACTTTATCAGTGAAAATATACATATATGATGGTATTTAAAAACAAAATATTGTTTTATCTTCCTTTTTTATTCTCATATCACGAGAACTGTAACAAAGTTTACGGAGATGTAATAATATAATATAAGTTGTATTTATGTCTGAAATGACATGAAAGAGATGGTATATGATTTATCGTTGAAAGACATACATTACATGTCTATATCTTCGACAAGAGAAAAGACGACGAGGGAAAAGACAAGTGAATGAAGGAAGTATCGTATTTATTTATATACGGAATGCATTTTCTCTTTACATATTAGAAATATATGCAAAATTTATATTTTAAATATTATAATAGATAAATTTAAAATTTTTACACTTATATACCACTGTCTATGCAATAGCTCTTTGCAGACGAATAGTTGATTTCCGTATACGAATACAATCGACGATGTAAATAGAGACTGATAAAAAGCATTTCCATTATTTGCCTTGCTTACCACTTTGTGCTTCCGATTTGCGAGAGAGAAGCGAAATTACATGTCGTCGACACGTTATTAGACATTTCCTTCCAATGAAACGCGCGGTATAAACGGCTTTTCAGAAACCTACCTAGTGGCCGAGCAAACGGAAATAGCCGTCAGCCCTCGAAACGATCCAGTTCTGTCTTGCCACATCCTTCCGCGCATGCTGGACAGAACAGTTCATTACTGCCGGTGGATCCGACCCGACGGATATGGAATTTACAATGACATAAGCCATCGATATACGGCCAACAGCAGCTACTCCGAGTGCAGATTAGTCATCCTGGGTAAGTACCATGGGCACGGAGCCCCGTGTTACGTGCGTAGTAATGTAACAAAGTCACCCTAATTGCCATGCCGTGTGTGTGTGTATGTGTGTGTGTGCGTGTGTACATGCCGCCGCGTATGTTGCCAAACGAACCGCGCGTAAATCACTATTACATTAATATTAATTAACGATGCGTTGCGATTGCAGTTTCGCGAAATGCGCGTCATTTTCAACTCCAATAGTATTATAACTGCCTCGATATTGTGATTAAATAACTTAGGCAGTGCAGGATATAAATTAAGTAAGATGCAAAGCAAAATCTCTCCTTCTCCCTCCCTCCCACTCCCCCCCTCTCTCTCTCTTTCTCCCTCCCAAGTTGAGAGGATCTTATCCTAGTGCACTCAATAAATATACATCTATCTACATATACGTATCTCTTTCACTCTGCCCGTCTATTTTTAGAGACTTTAACTAAAAAAGAATTAAAATAACTATTTAATATAAAACAAAATGTATAAAAGAAATATAAAGTAAAATTAAGGATTATTTAAAGATTTTATCTTAAATTACTTTATTATTTATTTTATAATAGTAATTTAAAGAAATATATATTTTTACTTATAAATATATATATATATATATTATAACATATAATAACGTAAATAAATAACAAATATATTAATATATATTTAATTTATTTTTATTAATTTTATTTAAAACTGCGTGTTTTCTTACAAGGGAACACAACTTATTATTATTATTATTATTATTATTATTATTATTATTATTACTATTAGGTACTATAGTAAGTTTGTTATGAACTGCTAAAACCAGTCAAATATTTTTGACGTTATATAAAAGAATAAACGAAATACTTAAGACAATTAGAAATTTATAATAAACTTATAAATTATAAATATATATAAATATATATGAAAATACACATACATATTCTTAAATGTAATAATTTTTCTTCATTTATATTCCTGTTTTTAATTGTTGAAAGTTTTTCATTTATTCTTTCATATAACGTCAAGAATATTTGACTGGTTTTAGCAGTTTATAACAAACTTACTATAATAATAGTAATAATAATAATTATAATAATTATTATTGTTATTACTATTATAAAAAGCTTTTTTTTATGAATTCTGTGTTGTATTTATCTTCAACGCTATCACACGTAGCTAACGCGGTGAGACAAATACGTACGGAGCGCGCATATAAAGGTGTTTCTTGCTCGTTTCCCAAAGATGCGTTATCTTCATTATATCATATATCGTTGTTTTCAGCGTAAAATGCGCTTTAATTTTTGTCCTTGTAAAAATTTAAAAATTTTTGAAAATTATGGGTGTGGAGTGTATAAAATATAATTTTTTTTTTCAAAAATTAAAACTATTGTGCGCTGTATGTAAAGCGCACTTGAAATCGTAAAATTTTTGTTTAAAACATTTTTTATATCTTTGACGGTTTAAATGATATTTACTCAGAAAAAAACCGTTCTTTTAAAGTTGAATATCACTCCCTTAATGTGCGACTCAGCACGTATAAAAAAATATAAGTACCTTATTTTTGTCTATATATTTTAGCATATCCAAAGCTCATTAAAATCGGAGGAGGGGACAATTGGATGTGTTCCCTTGTTAGAGGAGAGAATACTACATATTTAGCATAGAAAAATACTTTCTATATATATAGGATATTTTTATTAAAACTACAGTATTTTAGGACAAGTACAAAATACATATAATATAAATACATGTTTATTATAATTAGGTATAAAAATTTGGAAAATATGCCCAATGTGATAAAAATCACTATGTTGATAGATATATTAAATTTAATTATGACAATTTTAGTATATTTGTGATGTCTACAGAGTAAGTTAATTAAACACTTAGCAGCGCGAATAACATCTAAATATATAAACTTATTTAAATAACAGCCTATTCTAGTTATTCCGCGCATAAATATCTCAAAATAAGCTTTACAGAGATAGATTATTATTTCATCGGCATTAATTAACGTCACGTCACGATTGCAATTCGCGCAATATACCTATCCCTCATTCAATTTCAATATTGTCGTGATTATTTCAATATTTCGACTGAATAACTCAGGACAAATCCGCTTACTATGAACCCGTTACATTAATAATGATTAACGACGCGCCGCGATGCAGTCGATTACGCGATATATGCGCGCGGTTTCCGTATATTCCCATATCATTTTGCGATCATTCCGATATTCTAATCGGATAACTCGGATTGCACGTTCACCTGCAATCCTGTTTCGGGGCACATCGCGCGAAAGTTACGCCGGATGTGCCGACATGACCGATTCCACAGCCGAATCCGCGAGGACACGCGAAAGATTACTCCGCGCGGTCGGTCGGTCGACTTGCGGCGGTCGACTCGCAAAGTTGAGACGATCACGATCTATATCGGAGGGGATTCCTCCGTGAGTTTTCCGATAAACACTCGACGACGAGCGAAACTTCGCAGCGCGGCGGAATAAAGAATTGCGCACTTCGAAAAGTTGCCCCGTCTTTATGCCGGAATACCAACTGCACCCGATACACTAGCTCGCGCACCGAATGAAATCGATTCCCGGGAACGAAACATCCACATAAAACACAAGAGAACACGAGAGCTTCCTTCCTCGCCGCCCTCCTCCTGTTTTCCCTCTCGTGCGTCCCCGTGATCTCGGTGAATTCCCGCGACAACCGATTCCCGCTTGTCCGTCCCCACAGGTCTCGCAGAAAGTTCCTTTCTTCTCATGGACTATACTGTCGCTTTATATTCATTTCCCAGACTACCGTCCCGAAGAGGACGACGGTAACTGGACGTGCGTAGCCGGGCTCACCGGCAAGAACGGTCAACTGGAGGAAGCCTGGGACCAGATCGGAGTTCATCATGTATCCGAGAGCACAATCTACATCGTTAACTCCTTCACCTTCATAGCCATCAGCGTCATGCTGACAATTTTTGTCTGCGGCGTTCTCGGCTATGTCTGGACCCGATATTCGCTTCGTCGATCATTACCGAGAGAGGTGCCGGCCTATTGCCCGCCGGGATATTACCCCACGAAATCGCTTCAGTCTAAGCTCGACAGGGAATATCAATACTGATGAGAAGGATAAGTATTAATTGTAATAATAAATCTGATCACATTGATTATGTTGTTTAGAATTTTGAAAAGAGAAACAATGTTTAATTTATTAAAAAAAAGGGTGATTGGAGGAATGGAGAGATTGATAATTTATTAACCTCTCTTTAAAATGTGTTGATATATTAAAGTGAAATAAATACATATATGATCCAGCTTATTTTTGCATATGCATTACATTGTGCAAAAATAATTTTTTAATTCTAATTATTTTTAATTTTATTTAGCTGTTGTATAATCTATTATTTAAAAATTTAAATGTGAAAAAAATGGTGCTCCGTTTATTTTAGGGAAATAATTTTTCTATGTATGTAAAAAGGACGTGAAATAGTGCGTTATTTAAATAAATTATATTATATATTTTCTATTAAACAATAATTACTAATTGATAACTGCACATTTAAGGATACAATTTTTGTCAGGTTTCGGTATTTTTTTGTATATATCGTTATAATAAAATCGATAATTAGACGCGTACGGAAAATTACGCAATTCTATAAAAAATATTTCAAGGATTTTTTTGACACATTAAAAACATTAGTTCTTGTTAGATTCAAATTAGATTCTAAAAGTTCTGATCCAATTTTCAGTACGAAATCAGCCCGCAAAAATCTCGTGAAAGTTTACCGCTGTGCTGTATGTGTAACTAAAAACTTTTTTCTGGACTTTAATTCACGAGATCGATTTCGATCTATATAGAAGTCCGCTTTGGCAAATGCACGTCTCTAGGCTGGAACTTTCGAGCGTCCGTTTCAACGACGGATTGCTCGCGTCGCGTACTCCCGCGTGCATTCGCGAGACAGGCTTTTGTGTCCATACACGCGCTGCTTTCCGGGAGTCATTAGTCGCGAAACGCGATCCCTCTTCTCGAGACTCATCGGAATCGCGACCGGACGGATTTGCCCGCGGTACCACCGAAGTTTCCCTCATCCGTCCTCGTACCGGAGCGCCGGACCCGCGACTCAAAAGAATCTCAATATCGATCCCGATTCCCCGCTTATATTCTGACAGCCTCAACGAATCAAAGTCCGTCCTGTAATTGGAAACGGCAGCGACTCGTTCGGCTGGAAGATTCACGACTGAATTGCCGTAGGAACACAATTTACGGTGGCGCGCGCGGATGGTGGAAAGAAAAGGGCGGCTATCTTGCCGCCGCCGCGCCCGGTGTAACTTTGATATTCCGTCCTTGAGCGAGGGAAGATATGCTAACGATCTGTAAAGAGCGCACGACGTGGAAGCTGAACAGAGATTCAGGCTCGAGCGTCAGGGTTCACCAGATAAATTGTGAACGAAATTAAACGCCGCATTGTTGCGGTCGTGCAGTTTATATGCGTTAAATCCGATCCACTGATTTTTAGCAAAAAAATTTATATTGGTATTAGAAATAAGCCAATATGTAATTCGAAATATTCTTTAAACTTTGAGAGATACTTCTTTTACATAATAGATCAACTTTTGAGTAAAATTGATAGTTTACAATACTAAGTTTACTTAATACTAATTAATACTAATTTAAAATTTAATACTAATTATAATTAATAATTTAGCGAAATTAATATTAATAAATATTACTTCGTGAGATAGTAATAAATACAATATTAATTATAATGTAATTAATATCAATGTAATATTAATATTAACTTAATTGATTATACGTTCTCTCGATAAAGAGTTTATGAAATAATTCTTTTATAAACTTTGAGTAAGCGAAGTATCACGTCGCACCTTTTTTAAACGCTGATATTGTACATCAGGCAAAATGCGCAGCTGTTAAATGAAATTAAAATCCATGGCTTATAGTACCATATATTTTATGTATTATTGAAGTTCGTTACTCCCTTGGCGCTTAATCTTGATTTTTATAATACGATGTTAAAGAAGGTTAATACGAAGATTATTAAGAAAATCGTCAGATAACGGAGGACGAAAACAACCGTTGGAAAATAAATATAACTGCGATAAATCCGAGCGTCGGAGTGAATTTGTCCATCGGCGAGCGAATCGCGGAGCCGAGGAAAAAATAATTTCAGCGCAGACTGCTGTTGACAGTTTTCGTTCGTTAAGGACTGAATTTGTAAGCACTCGATTTCGCGAAACTCGATTTTCTTGTCGAGGCCCGGCGCGGCGGGAAAAAAATAGAACGGAGCTCGCGCTCTTTTTCGCGCGCGACGATTTCGGAGTGACGGAATTATTTCCGCTCGCAGCTAGCCGATAACGAGTTATTGAACTCGAAGGATGGAAATTGTTGTTGGCCGTTCGCGAAGACTGGCGTCGCGATTATACAAACGAAACGCCGCGGTAAGTGCAAAACACAGTCATCGGGTCTAAGGCGACCAGAAATTAATTGACTCTTTCGGAAGCAACGTCGAATGCCTTATACGGCTAAATCAGTTTATTATTTTATTTGTTTGTTATTTTTAAACACGATGTCACCTTCCAAGTTAATCGGGCAGTCTCTCATTAAAAATTAAATGTTTTGAGTAAATTCTCTAGCTGACATCGTCATTTTCGCAATTTTACAGCAACACAATTACGCGGAGAGAAAATATTGAAAACGGAGATTAAGTGATTCGATTATATCAAATGTTCTTTTTGCAAAAATAACGCTGTATTTTATATTCATTTTTCATACTGGATTATACAGGCGGATATGTGCAGGCTCGGACAATTTTACCTTCCGTCACTTTTTGCGTTACTCATCAACGTTTCCATATCACATATCGGTTTATGTACTAGAAAGTATCAAAGGTGTTCATTAACGTTCACATTAATAACGCAATTTATATGTAAAATCTCGAAGGAACGTATCAAAGGCAAACAAAATTCTTCAACAAGTCAAACGCTTTCCCCCCTGCTTTACGTTCATTAGTTACGTATTATCACGGCGATGAATCGATACGGTCGTTTGTCCACGAGAGTACAGAGAGATTCCTCGGTTTTAAAAGGCAACGTTTGGATTTAATCTCGAAGCCTGGAAGAGCTTATTTGCGCGAAAAGCATATTACAATATTATCTCTCGAACATTCGATTAGCAACGTTGATTGACATTTGCGAGTTTGAAATCGCAAATTTGAAAAACATGACCTAAAAGCGACTCATGACGGTTCATTATTGTTTTCAGAATTATACTACTTCTATCTTACTTAAAAAGCATTTGTGTTTAGCGAAGTAATTGAACATAAAAATGTTTAAATAGTCATCTGTACAAAGTTACGTATTTACGAAATGAATATAATATATAGTTTAATTTTTTATTCAACATTTTTTATCAGTACCTCTTTTTTTTAATAGAGTGACATTTTACTGTTTATATTCTGCTACTTAAAACTTCCGTAATGATGCTTAAAACTATACTTAGAGCTAGCACTGGCTATAAAGTACCGTCCGAGGGCAAAGTTCTTTTTCTACATGGTTGACCTAAGCAGATTTTTTCCACGCCGTAAAGAATAAATTATAATGCACTATGTCAACCGTTCAGCGCGGAAGCACTTAATAAGACTTGTATTTAGCCGGTTATAAATTCTATTTCGTATTAATAAGCCATGTTCAACAGAAAAGGGTATAAAAGGATGGACTCGTGTATACACTGATGGGACTAATTTATGCTGCGATTCTTGTAACGATAGAATAATTGCCGTATTAAATGATATATCAAATCAGCTTTATCTATCGACTTTCGAATCGAATTTTCGAATTGAAACTGTCATATCAGTGATCAAAATTTTCTTAATATAAAAAGATAATAATAAAATAATTATAAATCTAGTAAATTGAAACTTCCAATGAATAAATCTAATCAAACAATTAAAAAACAAAGGCAATAATAATACAAATTTTCTGTTTTTATTTAATTGCCCTAAACGATTTAACAATAATTATGTAAGTATCTTTTATGTTAATTATTACAATAATGAAGTGTTATAACGGAAACATAAAAATAGTATATGTATATAGTAATTACTTAAATTTAATGAACACACTCATTACGTGATCGATTTAGATATTACGTACTTGTTCCGATTTAGCGACAATACCTTCAATACCGTGCGATAGCAAAAGCAACCCTTTACTTTTTTTTACTTAACAGAGAAAGTTCGATTTTATCCCCTGTACAGTTGACAAGCTACAACCTCTCTCTAACTCGATTCTGTATTAACTCGAAATGGAGTTTCCGCGTCTCCGGGTTTAACGCGACGTAAGGCCGTTCAGTTCTAAGCCCGCGCACGCACGTACACGTGTATATATCTTCCCCTCCTCTCCCCCCCCCCTCCTCTCTTCCGCGTGCAATAATATTCCATTTGCGCGCGTACGACGATTATGCGAGCGCAGACAATCAACGTGCGCGCGCGTGCAGCTTCCTCCCGCGGGCGATTATCCCTCGTGCTTTGTGGACCGTATCTCTCTCGCGCTCTCGCTCTCCCTCTCGCTCAGATTTCCATGATTCTCCTTCGCGTGCGTTACTCCTCGCACCGCAATAACAGCGGTGCCGCGTGGCGCGGGATAATAATAAGGAAGGATAAAGCGCCGAGTGTGTGCGAAACTTCCACCGGCGAGAACCAATTAGAGACAGACTGCTCAGGAATCTGACAGTCGACTGAGTTACACGGCTTTGTTACGTAAATCCTACCCATCGCGACGAGCGGTGGGGAGGCGTTGATGGTAAAGAAAGTTTCTTTCGCAAATGATTTGCGATTCTCTGCGAAACGAAAGCGCAAACCGTGTCCCTTAGGCCAGATCGAACTGGGACCGGAAAGAAGCAGAGAGAAAGAGATATATTATTATTCTCTCCGCGAAATTTTTTATTTGCGCTCTTTTTGCGTGCGAAGGCACTGACGCAAAGCGAGAACTGAAATTGACGAGAGCATTCGCAGCGAGGGACACGTGTGCGTACAGCCATGATGTAACGATATCGTTCGTTGACTTAAGGTAATAACCTTCGCGTACGTGTGCATGTGTGTGCGCGCGCGCGCGCGCGTGTGTGGAATTGTGAAATGATGGAACATGTTGGGTGTGCGCTTGCATTGGCATTGGCATGTGGCGCGCGAAGGGAGAAATCAAAATTATATTATTAATTTAATTAAGGAATTGTTTACCTAAACATTTATAGATTTGGAAATGATCGATGACTTCATTCAGTCATTTAGATCGGTCTCCGTTAAAATTACTTAAAATATTTCTCCGATTTAAAAGAACTGAAAATAAAACTAAATAGTGTTTCCGCGTTAAAAAATCTCTGTTAAATTACAAAGCGATTTGCGAAAAATTCAGTCAAAAATAATTCGAGAAAAAACGATGCAGAACATTAAATTTTATTACAGCGAAAACAGCGCATCTCCTGTAAACGGTATATCCGTGCGTCTGGTCGCAAAATCATCATCGAGTCTCAGATTGCAGGCGAGGAAAAAGAAACGGCGCGGCGAAGATT